TTTATTATAAACAGAGCATTTACTTAAATATTTGTATCTAAAAAAAAACGTATAATAAATTAAAAATTATTAAAAAAATAATTGTCGAAAGTTGTCCATTTTAATAATGCGTGACGTCATATATATATATATATATATATATGTATTTTCAGTTTATTTTGATGTTTTTGTATAATATATTTTGAAATAATTTTATTTGAGAATATGTTAAAAAGTCTGGAGAAAGATTATGTTCTCTTTGGCATCATCAGTTCGAAAAGAAAAACAAAAAATCTCAGGATATGGGGATAGTATTTGTGGATATTATATTTTGTATATAAATTGAATATATAATAGGTGGACTTTTATGGACAAGTTATGTTGTACATGAGTATATATAGAGAGTGATATTTATATGTCTATACAGGTATACATCGATATATTACAAATAAGCCTCTATAATATGTCTCAGCATGTGTGTGTTTGAGTCTTATTAATATTTGGGGTGCAATTTAAGAATATGGATGAACATGTATATGGATATATCTATATATATGTATGTCAAATAAAAATGGTGTCTAATACTTGTATATACCTCAATGGATGCATATATAAACACACCTATATAAGAATATATATATATATATATATATATATATATATATATATATATATATAGATAGATAGATAGATAGATAATATTAGTGGTAAATATACATATGCAAAATATATAAATATATATATATATATGCATATATATACATATATATATTTTTTATAAAATAAAATTCCAAGAGGATAGAATCAGGTAGAACTCAATGTCCAGGACAGAGTAAGGATATAATAAAAAGGCTAAACACTAATATTCCATGGTCATAATTTATTCCATTGGAATCGTAAATACGATCCAATTCATCAGACCTACAAATTCAAAAAGAAAACAGAAAAAAACAACTCCGGAAATAAAAAATAGAATTTAGAGATATTTGTAAGTATGAGAGTGTGGGACGAATGTTAGAAATAAAAAGAGGGGTAACAGACGAGAGAAGGTGGGAGACTAAAACTTAACAGAGAGGGTTTTTTTTATGAGGTGAGTGGAAGGGGAAATATGAATGTTGTCGGATGTCTAATACATTAAAGATACATTTCAAATTTTGGTGACATACACACAACATAGACGATCTAATGTTAAAGATCAGAATAAGAGGGAAGGGGAGAAAAAAAGAAAAAAAAAAAGGTGGGGGAGAGAGATGGGCGGGGAAAACTAAAATTTGAAGGACATTTACTAAAAAAGGGCTGCTGTGTAATTAAAAAAAATTTGACAAAATTAATATCGACTACAGGTTACAAATCAAATATAAAATATAAAAAAATAAATATAACGATTATAATAATCTAGCAAGGACCTATATTTTTATGTTAAAAAAACATTTCCAAAATAACACATACACATAATGTATATATATATATATATATATATACACATATGGATATATATATATATATATATACATATACATATATATCATCATACACACATGCATCAACATATATAAAAAATCCATATATATATATTACAATTATATTGTAATACACACATATATAAACATAATATTTAATTTTTTTTTATTATATATATATACTTATTATGGATATAAATTTCTATTAAATTATATATATAAAAACTTTTTTTTTATAAAATAAAATATATATATATATATATATATATATATATATATATTTATATATTTATATATATATATATATATATATACAATTTAATATTAAAAATATATATAAATTTAATATTTTAATTTTTTTTCTATTTATTTAAATACTTTATAGTTAACTGAATATTTTATGAAAATAATTAAAAATGGAGATTAAAATTTTATATTTATAAATTTATTAAAAACATTTATTACCATTCATTCTATCAAAACATTTTATTTTAAATTAAGACAGAATCATTTATATTATTATAAGAATGAAGTTGAAAACTTTTTTCTACCGTAATCCAAAAAATGACCAAGAACTAAATCCTGAAAAAATATAATTTGAAAAAAAGAAATTTCCAATTTAATCTTAGAAAATTTAAAACCGTTGGGAAAGCGATTTGATCGATTTAATTAAAAAGATTAAGTTCAAGAATTATAAATAACTTTTTATATAAAAAAAAAAAAATATAGAGACATTAAAAATATAAAGAAAATCCAATAAATTATATAATTATTTTAAAAGCTATACAAATATAAAAATTTCTATAAAATTAAACCCTCTGAATATGACAAACTCGTGTCAAAAAAAATTAAAGCTCTTATAAAAAAACAGAAAATAACAATAGAATTTATCATCTATCAATGAAGACATCTGCAAATTATTTAACAAAAAATGGAGTTGCTGACAGAATGGGCAATTTTTAATATGAAAGATGCATACATTCTCTTCAAGATCATAAGCCGAAAAAATCAATAGCTTAAATATCCCGTCTAATTAATCCCTCCAAATCTGAGTTGGGATTAATTTTTCAAATTTACTATTATCAAGAAAATAACATCATGTGTCCTGGATAAATAACATAATATTTTTTGGAAAGACTATTGAGACGATTAAATGGTTCCGAAAGATCATTTAATAAAAAAATATGAGCCAATTTCATCCAATTTGATATCTTGGATTTTTACCCTTCTATTTCGGAGGAACTATTAATTAACAGCCTTTTTTTTCGCCAAAAATATACCAAAATAACGGATAATGATCTGGACATTATTTTAGCGTCAAGAAGATCAATACTTACATACAATGACGCTACTTACATTGAAGAAGAATAATGGTAGTTTCGATGTATCTATGGGAGCCTTTGATTCTAAAAAAATTGCAGATCTATGTGGATATATATATTCTTGACACCTTGAGTAGATAAGTTAAATTTAACCAAGTCGGAATTTATAGAGATGACGGCTATATAATCATTGTCCCAAATAGCAATGGTCCCTTGACTTCCAGCTTACATAAGAAGATAAAACATATATTCAAATATTTAGGACTTAAAATTGAAATATCTTCCAAATAAAAAAATAGTTTTTTTGGATATTACACTCAATCTATCGAATAATACCTTTTTTGGATTCCATAAAGTTTATCAAACACCCCTATACATCAACGTCCAGTCTAAATTAAATAAACAAATGATAGATCACATCCCCAAAACTGTGAATACGAGAATAAATAGGCTATCTTCTAGCCAAAAAAATTTAAAATAAT